CCAAAATTTGCCCATCAAATAAATAAGTTTTTTGTCTACTTTTTACTTTTCATTCAAAAACTTAAATACACAGTTTTACTTGTTATTGTATTAGCTATTATAAAAAATCAACAAAATCTACAATTCTTCATAACGGGTTAAATAATTCACAAAAATAATGATATATTGCGAAATGCGGCTGTGCAGAACAATAGCAACTTTATTTATTATATTAAATTTTTGTATTATTTTTCTAAATTTTGTATAAAGCCCTTTGCTTTTTATTACTTGGACACTTCTACGGGTCATAGGTGATATTAAATTGTTAATAAAACTATTTGGTTTTTATACCATTCATCTTTCATGACCTCAAACATTTGGAAACTTTTCGACCCCCAAAGCGACTTTTGAGAATACCAAAACGTTCTCAATTGAATTAATATCAGGTGTTTGGGCTGGCTAATTTGAAATTGGAATTTCATTTTTCAAAATCCATTCTCTTATCAGCTTTAAGGTGTGTTTTGGGTCGTTATCGTACTGATATACCCGTCGGAGTGACATTTTTCATCCGCCATGGGGTACCATATGGCTCTCTAAAATTTTTTTGTACACATGTTGGGCTATTATTTGATGAATTTCATGAAAAGATCTTAGTCTAAATCCTGAAAAGAACGCTCAAATTATTACTGACCCACGTCCATGCTTCACAGTCGCTTGGCAGTTACGCGGATACAAACGTTTTTCTTTTTCGCGACGTACTGTGCACATCCCATCAGAATTAAAGATGTTAAATTTTGATTTATTGCTGAAAAAAATTATTTTTCATTTAGTAAAAGTCCAATTTAAGTGATTCCACGCGAAATTTGATCCAAATGAAGTATATTAATATTAATTAAAAAGCAAAATAAAAATCTGCCTCTTTTGCTAATGCTTTTTAGTCAACATTGGTTTTTTGACTGGTCTGTAATTTTTGAAACCGGCTTCGAGAGCAAGCCTGCGTACAGTACTAGAGTCAACACCTTGTTTAAGCTCGGCTACGACCTTTTTCAACGACACAAATGGTTGTTTTTTTTTGTAATTCTTATGATGTTTCGATCAATTCTACAAGTAATCTTAAGAGAGGCTTCACCCAAATAAACAGTTTTCACGGTATTTTGTCAAATTATATTTTTTTATAAGCTGCGAAACAATAAACTAATTAATTTTAAATATTTTGGATATTTCATTTGAGCACTGCCATTTAAATAGTTTTCAATTCTTGCTTCTTTAAACTTCAAAGTATACTTGTCACGAGCCATGATAAAAACGTACTTCCATTACCTGATTTAATATTGAACTATTCTGTGTTTATGTTCTAATTTGCTTAAAAACATAAATCACAGCATAAAAATGCAAAAAATCAAAAAAATATCTTGCTAGAATGCACTTTGGTCATAGGTCTATCATTGATCTTGTCTCAGTTGCTATTGTTTTGCACAGCCGCATTTCGCAATATATCATTATTTTTGTGAATTATTTAACCCGTTATGAAGAATTGTAGATTTTGTTGATTTTTTATAATAGCTAATATAATAACAAATAAAACTGTGTATTTAGATTTTATATACATTAGATGTATATAATATATATTTAGATGTATATATGATACATTATTTTTTATTGTTTATATGAATAAATTGCTTTGTTTAAAATATTAATGTATATTAACACAAAAAATTATAAATTGATCAATATCCCGTGAATAACCATAAAAAATAGCGAAAGTTTCTACGTAATAAATATTAATATTTACATTTTTATACATATTTATTAACACATGTTTATTAATAACTATCTTAAAAGTAATTCACTTAAACTATGTATTTTGAACAAAATAAATAAATAAAGTAAGTAGTTATGGTAATAAATAAATTATAAATAGATGTTATTAAGCCTGTATTAGGCAAATTTGTAATATAAGGTCATATAACAATTTATGCCTTAGTCGATTTCACTTTCTCTACCATCCAAAGGAATTGCTTACGAAGTAATATAAGCAGAATAAAGTTCAGCAATTCAATTCGATGAAGTCTGCATGCCCCAATAAACCAACTCGGTAAATTATGGTAAAGTAAACTGAAATTTCCTAGGGTTTTTTTGCACTGCACTTATGTTAAAAGTTTTCAAATTCATTTATTGTTTTATTATACATCTTATAAAAAGTTACCAATGGTAATACCTAATTTACCAAATTTACCCTACTCGAAATTCTGGTAAATACCAACATTCGCTGCCATACGGACATAATTTACTATTTTCCTCAATTTACTTTCAATTACTCGAACTCACACACGGTCAATTACATACAATTATCTTATTTTAGCTAATACTAATATAACATACATATAACTGTTATTATACCTGATTAAAACAAAAAATTGAAATTGGTTGCATTTGCTTTAAATGTTCCTAAAATAAGATCAAAAAATATTCATATTCTTTCAAATAAAAGTACATATGTTTATAAATATACATTTATACTCATACATATATATATGTAGGTCAGTAAACTTCCAAACAAGTAGGGATGTTTCTCTTATTTGCATTATGAAGTGATATTAAATGCATGCAATTTTACGTGCTGCTTGCTGGTGCCAAGCATTAATTGTAAAAACAAATAATTACACCAAAAACTAATTTGACTCTTTTCTTGTACGATCTGCATTCGTAACAAGCAAATCTGTTTTTTGTTTTCATTTTTGTCCTTCATGCATCAATAGTAAAATTTTTAGAAAGAACAAGCATAAGCGCGACCGATCTAGCAGCAGCGCAGAAAGAAGTAAAATCTTCACTCCGCCCTCCCGTGCCTGTTGCTGAAAATTTAAAAATTGAGTCATTGTGACTCTATAATATTTTTACTCAATGCTTAAAGGCATTATTTTCTCTTTAATTAATGTGTTATTCGTAAAATTGGTTTTTAACTATTAATGATTTCAAATCGGTTTGTTTTAAACAAAGGTTTTTCCATCCAAATGTGTCTTTCCGATTGCAAATATGAATAAAACCCAGTTTAATAATTTAATTTGTAAATACAAATTTTTACTGAAGTACTAGAGTATTACTATAGTACTGAAGTAGTTCAATCCATTATGTAGTACTATGTAAACGTAGTACCATGAAGTATAGTACTACTGTAGTAGTACTGAATGAATACTGAAGTAGTATAGTAGTATAGTAGTACTGAAGTAGTATTATAGTAGTTTTGAAGTAGTACTATAGTTGTACTGAAGTAGTACTATAGCAGTACTGAAGTAGTACTATAGTTGTACTGAAGTAGTACTGAAGTAGCACTCAGTAGTACTGTAGTGGTACTATATAGTATTAATAGTAGTAGGAGCATATAGCAGTACCAATTTTTAATATTATATTGTCTATGCAATAAAAATCTTTGAGTCCATATCAAAATTGTTATTTCCAAAGATATCATTGATCTTTTTGTCAAATAAAATTATATATCCATCGAAACAAATTATTATTTACTTTTATTATTTGTGTTAAAAATTTTATTTAATATATAAAAAAAAAAATACACTTTTGTAATTTTATTTTTAAAACTTTTAGACTTTTCCCACAATATGCAATATAAAATTGTGCAAAATTTGGAGTTATATGTATAAATTTGTATAAATGTATGTCAAATTTTTCATTTTAATATTAAATATAACTAATCGAATTATTTATTAGCTATTAGCTGAAAATATCTTCATTACTTTTGGATTTTATTTAATCCAAGATTTAACATGGAGGGAGCAGTTGGTGAGCACCTTATTAATATCAGTTTAAAGGTAATCGAGGTAGGACATCGCGTGGGTGAGATAGCGAAAAACGTTAAGGACAACCAATTAACATGGCCTATTTGCAAATGTGCTGCACTATTTGTCTTTGGCATTATCCTGACCAAGCGTCTTGAACGTGTAGTTCCCCTCGTCGTGCAAAATTAATGTGGTTGCATGGGATTTTGTCCATTGGGTGCTAATATAAATGTACACTGCTAAATTTAACGAGTAAGTATAATGTCTTTGTATGTTGGAGAATAGATTTAAACTTGCAATAAAAAATAGTTTTGTTTTATAAAGTCATTGGTTTGTTTAATTTTCATTTTTTTAAACAATTTGTAAATTACATATGTAAAATCTATAAAGATAACACCTGAACCAATATTATAACGAATAATTATTTTTGTGTTTATTGTAGTAAAAACCATTGTAAAGTAAATAAATCTTTTTGAACATGGAATAATATTAAGTTTATGATGTTTAAAAAATCAACCTGGTTTACTTCTTATTATATATAGAAGTAAACCAGACTAATTGTTGCTTTTTAGAATGCAAATTAATAGATATAATTTTGTAAATAATTTTATTAAAGCAAACATTATTTGAACACGTTTTATATGTTTTTGAAAAAATCCGTAACTGTGTGTTCCTACTCCAAAATTTTGGAACTGCTAGATGGCATCTACAATTAATCCAACTTAACACCAACACGAGTTTAATGGAAAGGAGAAAGAATGAATACTTAAAAAATGTACATTCAACTAATCTAATGGACTCCAGGTCACTAAAGTAAAATGATCTAGCAGTATGAGTATAAAAGACATCTTTGTTTTAACTAACTAAGTTGTATATAAATATTTAAGTTATTTGCACACAGTATATTTAAAATTAACGAAATTATTTGTATAATAATTCCTGTCATCATCTTGGTTCTTATAATTAATTAGAAATCTTAACCTTGCCTCAAGCACGATCGTTTTTGCAACACATTCTTCTTAAGACATTACTGAAATTATATTTTGATTGATGATTGATGAAATGAATTTCATCACAACTGTCATAATACAAACAACAAAGGGAAAAAAAAATTAATATTGAGAAGGCTAAAAAATTTTACGGTTTCATATTTTATTATTTTCTATACAAAAGAACTATTAGACTAATATATATGAAAAAGTTTCTTGGGTTTCAATATGCATGAAAATAGAAATAAAACCACTGACTAGTTTAAAAATCGATTGAAAGTTTATTAAAGTTTAACTGTTATTAGATAAAAGTTTCTTAAAGATAGCAGATAATACATAAGTTATCTAGTTACAACCATCTAGATACTGTATTTAGGTACATAATGCTGTACCTTTAATTTTATTCGGATATTTTTTCTTTCCTATGCTTTATATCTATATCTAGATACAAAAATTCTTTATTTTTATATTTTTTGAATAGATACAAATGGACACTAAGCAAAAAAAAATACATTAAATAGTTATAGTCTAGTAGGTGTAACCCGCGAGTCTTACAGAAAACAGTTGATTTCTCTTGAGACTTAAATTTTGAATGTTATAAATAATGAGAATGCTAAGTATTAAAATATCCCAATAGAGAGATATCAATATATATCCATTAAGAATTGTTGCTTTAATAACATTTGATATCAGTCTTTTGACAACCAATTTATATAGTTTACGTGGATTAACCGACACCTTTAAGCGACAATTTGTACGATAAAGCACCAGACCCACGAGTATTCAATGAATCTAAAGTTCACAACATCATCGACATTATAAAACTGTCATTTGATTTATAATTAACTTATCCGCCTCCAATTTTATATGACAGCTCTCACTTTAATAATGAGAAACATCACCTGAAACATCTATGAGTCTTTTGGATATATAAAGTTTGATAAACATAACTTTAAGCTTTTTTGTATGGTAGAAATTATTAGTCTTGAACCTAAATAAAATATTATGGGTAAGGTTCTGCACCTCTACATGGCGAATACGTAGTATAAATATCATTCAGGTCAACAGTTCAGGTAAAAATTGGATTTTCTATCGGATTTGATAGTCTAAATACTATTCAGCGACTTAAGAAAAAATTGGATTGTAATATTTTCTTTTTGTACAGAGACCACCTTAAATATGGACTCTAAGTAAAAATGTTACAGGCTGTATTCTGCGTCTTAATATAAAGATTGTATGGCATGAATATAATGCGAATCGATTTCGCAGTCAAGGCGTCTACTAAATTTTTATATGTATATAGATTTTCAATTGGATATATATAACTTATCCAAAAAAAATATATTAAAATTAGTACAAATCGGAAGCACCATCCCACTAAGATGAAAAGTATGTGTACTCCAATACTGATTATCAGATATATTAGGTTTCAATTGTTGTCATTATATTAATTCAGATTCTAGATTAACAAAGTGCAACGCTTGCAGGTTCCTCGTCAAGCTAATCTTAGACTATGAATTATTTTTAATGAATAAATATATCCTCAAATTATCAGTTTAGTTAATGTTTGTTTCATAAAATTTATTTTATAATAAATAATAAATTTTTTGTTGCAATACTGAAATAACCGAATTGTAACTAAATATTTATTAATAATAAAAAAGGTTTTAACATTACAATGAAAAAATTGAATGCTACGCCACTTCGAACAAAACGTATAATTAAACGTTATTATTTTCTATTGTGGGTAAATAAACGTTTTTATAAGCGTTGGAATGAATTTTTTTTATTCTGCATTACAAATGTTTAAACAAATAGAGATTAAGCGTCTCCTTATTTGCTTAAGGACTTCCAAGTTTCAAGTACCTACGCCATTTGCTGAATAATCCAACTGATGTAGGAACTCACACGAGTGTAAACACCGGGGAAATTAGTTATCCCGCATATTCTAGGACCAAATGCTACAATCCCCATTATTGTAAGACGCCTATTTATTTCCATCATAAAGGGACCACCACTATCACCTGTAATAAAAGATTTTCAGTTAAACTAGTATAAGTTCTCCTTTAAAAAAAATAATATATATGTTATATTATAACACATTATTTGATAATAACCTCTGCAGACATCATTATGTGGTTCTCCTTGAGCACAAATTTGTGCAGGTGTTATGACGATGGGATTCTCAAAATTTTCCGTATATTTTGCATAGTTTATAGCACATTCAGTTGTATTAATAATCGGTAAACGTAATTGTTTTAGAGTGGAATTACCTTCATTGGTAATACCTATATTGAAAAGTATGTTTTGAAATTTTGATTTTAAAATAAATGATACAAGAATAATAATTTAAAATTATGGTATGTAAATTATACATTTTTTTCTGGAAAAACTATTAGTTTTATTTTAAAATTATGTTTAGTTAAATAATATACCATCTTCGTTATTGCTGCTCCATCCAACAACTATACCAGTAGTTCCTATTATAATCTGGTCGTTATCGACCGACAAAGTATTATCCAAAGGTAAGCAGATTGTGCCAAACTCAACTATAAAAGTTTTAGATTTAATAAAAACATTTAAAAATGTCAAAAGTTATATTCATTGAAATACCTGGCATATTAGCGGGTATCCGTACTTTAAGTATTGCTATATCATTTGCATATTTGGGTTCATCATATTTGGGATGTATTATAACTTGTTCTATTTGAAGTATGTTAGGCGAATTACAATTGTTAGCATTTAGACGACATTCCGCTGGTAGTTGCTCCTCTCCGATGCGCACATAAGATCTTAAAACACAACAAAAAAATAAGTGAAACATGAGAGGTAAGGCTACACCTTGTCTTTACATACAATTTCAAGTCCCTCACCAAATTATTAACGCAATGAGCAGCTGTTAGTACATGTGTGCGACTAATGAGGGAACCCAAGCATCTATAGTTGACGCTATTGTCTGCTATAAAGATTAATAAAATTAACATTAAATATAATAGTTTTTAATTGTGACTTATATAATATGACTGCATAAGATCCGAAGTTAAAAAGGTCAGTTAATTAATACGACTGAAATATAACATTAAATAAAGAATTTAGCTGAGGTATTGTAGCCGCTTTTTTCTCTTCTACTTATTAACCTTGTAATAATTGAAAGATAAATCTATTTCAAAATGATCAGAATACTTAGTTATTTATGAAAAACGCGTTCAGTTCCCAATAAGGATATATGGTAGTATATTAATAATAACATTCCTTTTATTTCGTTCCTTAATTGTGCATTTCCTGACGATCACAGGGCACGAGTTGATAAGATGATAAAATATTTCATTCTGTATTTCACAGAAATAGTGATAAATTCAGATTCAGATGACTGAGAATTTTGCTCGAATAAACTGTTTGGCACTGTCTTGGGCCTTTAGAGTCAACGTAAGCATGTTTCTATGTATTCTATGTTTATAACTATTGATTAAGTTTGTCAATGACGATGTCAAGCAAAAGAATCAGCTCCCTATATCAATTTTTATGCTATATTCAATTATTGTATGCTTTGCTTAATCTATATCTATATTTTCAGTGGTTGACTTTATCTATAAAAGTAAAATGGAAAATGAAGATAATTCAAATGTTTGTAAGAATGAAGTATGTGTATTTATGAGTAAATTAAAAGAAGAGCCTTATCGTGGATTGTTAACTGCTGGTTTACTATTTGCTTTTGGTATACTTGCGATAAGGAAAGCTCGTACTCTTATTCAGGAACTGATGTAATTATGTGATCAATTGATTATGTGAAAGTTTGCTAATAAGAATATTGTTCAAATATGTTCAAATGTTTGTTCAGAAATTGTTGTTTCGATTATTCAAAATTTTTATAAACAAAATTAAAATATAAACTAACGTCTAGAATAAGTGTTTTCTTTTTTTTTAATAGTTTTATTTAATTATTATATATATTTATATATGTATTTCACGGTTATAGTAAGTTGTTATTCAAGCGTCCATCCAATTGATAAATTGTGTTTTTGTAAGAAACAATCTTGAATTGTTTAAAGAAAATATTACAAAAAAAAGTTGTGCTTTGACGTTAATAATATTATAGAATAGGACTCAAGTTCTCTTAATTATAGAATAGAATATCAGTTAAATTTGTGTAAAGTGAGTTCTACAATATTTGGTTGTATAACAAGTATTATGCATTATTCTATTTTCCATTTTAACATTAATATTTTTATAAAAATGAACTGAAGTTATCTTAATTATGGAACAAAATAACACGTAACTTTGTGTGGAGTGACAGACGTCCAGACTTATTAACGTGATTTCCTGCCGTGTTGGCTTAAAATCACTGTGTTCTTCACACATGCATCGGTACATTGTGCCGATGAACGCGCCATTGGAATCTCCTTAGTAATTTCGCCGAGTACCAAAGTATGGTAGAGATTCATGCAAGACATAACTTCCATCTTGGTACGATGCGAGGCCTATCTTTAACCTCTGCTACAATGTAAGTTGTAGCACCCGGTGGTAAATACGCCGAATGCAACCATTTAACTGAATATTCTTCCTGCGTAAGTTTGGATATTAACCACAGGCACTACGAGTCTGGCCTCAACTGGTCAGCACAGCCAAAGCTGCGGGCCACTGACCCCCGTAGTAACAGATTTACACCTACGGTCAAGTGTCGCTTATACACTTCGTGCATAAGTGTCGCCATGGTACCGGGATTTTCGTCGTCTCTTATGACAGGTATGCCTTATCTCGGGAATATTCCAAACCCTTACCCGCAGGGGGATCTGTGGAGTGGCAATTGGCCGTTGGCAACCATCACCCAAGTATACTCGATAAAATGATCTGCATGGTGGACATTCAACTGATACGCTTTATAGATTAGGCGTAAAGAACATTAACAAAAACATTATTGTGACGGTAAAACTTCGGTTCAGGAGAGGAAGTATACTATGTCACTGCATAATTAGTTAATAAATCTAATTAAAGAGAAAATATTATTAATTTAAAGAAGATGAATAAGAACTAGTTTCAGGGTTTGATTGGAAGTTTTCTAGTTTTAGTGTTATAAAAAATATATATATAAACAAATTAAGAGATTTGCGTTTTATATACTGAAATAAAGATAGTAAATAATTTAATTTAATTACTGGTTCATGGTAAAAGTTAGAGTATATATGGTAGACACACACACACAATTGAAGATTTAGTTTATAATCGTGTTATCGAAATTATGAATGGCTGAACTCATGTAGAATTTTATTTTCAATTTTCAATATTTTTTTGTTTAAAATTGATTTTTTAATTTCACAGTTAATGCTTAAAACATTCATTTTTTAATAGCACTTCTTATATTTGTTTTACAATTCCAAGAATCTTTCTATTGTATTATTCAACTCATTACTTACTTATATTCAAATAGGCTAAGCGTACCAACCAAAGATATTGCCCGGGTTTAGTTTCTAAGCCACCAATAATACGCATTTCGATTAAGCTTCCACATTGCGGAGAATTGATGCTCGTTTTACTCTGCACTGGGTTCTCACGTGATCTGCTGTTATTCGTGCTTGATTCAGTATTAATTTTTTTATTCGTACGACTCACTTTTCTTCCACGACCTCTGCCAATTTTGACATGGTGTTGATTGTCGTTATTTGTGATTTGTATACCATGAACTGGTCGTTGTGTAGTTACAGACTTGACTTCTGTTGAAGTTGGGAAGATAATTGATTTGTGCAAAATTTTATCATCTGGGTAAATAAATCGGGAATCATCATTATCTTGGCTAAATTTATTACGGAAATCACTAAAACTATTGTCATGTTGATGTCTATGATTATTATGAAAATGTTCTGTATGTCGAAATTGATAATCTTCATCCAAAAACGGATGCGGGCAATTATACTGAGTCGTTGGATCTTTATAATCTAATACATTGGAATATAAATTATAATCAGTGTTAAATTTTTCTTTTGGAATTAGTCTTTGATTAGGTGTTCGATCCCAAACCCAAATATCCTTTGAGGAGTTATCTTCATAGGCTGCACGAAATGCTGTGTGTTCAGTACGCTTTAATGGATCTTCAGCAAGCAACACATTTTCTACACTCGATAATGTATTACGTGCAGGACAACAAACAAACACTTCGTCTCCATGTCCGGATTGACACTCCTCATTGGTAAAGTACGATCTATGATATTGTGTATTATGTGGTGATAAAGTCTTGATTAATTCGCAGTCTTTAAAAGATATACAGTTGCATGTTGATGATTGTTTATAAAATGTTACTGCTTGTGCATCTGTAAAAAATGGGGTTAAAAAAAATAAAAATAAAGAATTGCAATTAAAAACAATTAATTTATATATGCAATATAATCGTTCAAAAAATATTATTTATATTAAATATTGTCTTATGGCGCACACGTGTTAGTTGTATAAAAGATTCGATGATTTATATTCCTTAAGATTAAATTATTTTTCATTAATAATTTACTTCTATTTGAAAAAAAAAATTTATGAATTTATTAAATATTTTTATTAAGGCATGACTTAGCATTTTGGGCGTTGATCTTAATTATCATAATTATTTTTACTTTTATTTTTTACTTAATTTTCTTGTGTTTTCTGTGTTCGTTGACCTCTAAATGATTTGTACTAATTATAAGTTATTGGAATTGTAATATTACTCATATAAATAGTGGAATTTCTATAGTCATTCAGATACTTCTTTTAACCTAGAAACTTTTTTTATTTCACATAAACGCTTTAATATAGATTAAATCATAAAAAATAAATGAACGAACGAAATTTTATAAACTCAAAAATAATTAATTAATTAGTTAATCAAGTTTTAAAATTAGTGAATGAGTTTTAAATGAAAATCTGGTAGTCATGGAGTATCACCAATAATAGGCTATGACATAATTCTTCGAAAGATCTATGGTCCCTTACGCATTGGCGACGAATATCAAATTAGATGGAACGTTGAGCTATACTTTACTATTGACATAGTAAAGGGCATAAAAATTCAGCGATTTCGCTGGCTTGGTCATGTCTTGCAAATGGAAGAAAGTGTTCCGGCTAGAAAGGTGTTTGATTCGGTGCCCATAGATGGAAAATGCTGTAGAAGACGTCCGCATCTTCGGTGGAAACACCAAGTGACCAACGATTTGGGGGCGCTCGGTACTACCAACTGGTGACAGCAAGCAACTAATCGGACTGACTGGCGTAGGCTACTCGACGCGACCAAGGACGACTCACGTCTGTAATGGCCAACTAATAGATTTATATATTATAGTCTGCATAAATTGGATAAAATCAAGTTTACATCAATTCAATACAATTTGAAGATCTAGTAAATTAATACCCAATTTCATAGCCATAACTTAAGTCTTAACATTAATTTAAGTATGAATTAAAACAGCACAGTTAGAGTGACTTAAACATGACTTAAATCAGTGTTGAAACTGTAAAATCGGCCTTTAATTTATTAGATCTTCAAATTGTATTGATTGATGGAAAGTAGACTTTGTCTAACTTATGCAATCTATATTACATAAATTTGTAAATATTTGTTATAACATAACCAACCTACAATAGGTGCTTTATTGCGCAATATAATTTCTATATTTATTGAAAATATCAAATCACATCATTTATAAAAATATCATCATCCCATTTATAGAAGCATATTGCTTATGAGATTAAGCGATATTGGATATAATATTAAGTATAACATAAAAGAGGTACAGTAATACACAGAGCACTACTGACACTGTTAACTACTATAAGGTACAAAGATTTGTCTAAAGTCAGCTAGCATATTATTCTTATAACGACTGTTTAAAGCTCTTGGATTATTAGTGATTATAGTCCTCACCTCATAATACCTTCCTGTTGGCATTTTTTTAGTTATTTTGTTTTCAATTAAGTTTTCTACAAAATCATATATTTGAATATAACCAATAGACTTAATAGTGCTATAAAATATTTTTTTATAAACCACTTTTCCGCAAACCATTTTCTTGATTCATAACAATAGTTCAAACTATCACATGCTAAAGAGATGTGATTAATAAATGAATAGCTCTCCAAGCTAGTTGAACTAACTGATGTAACAAATTCACATCCAAAATTTTTAGATATTTATTGCAAATCCGGGTATTTGTATTTGCGGGATATCAAAAAATTGGACTCATCACTTTTATATTAAAATTTTCACACCAAAATATGATGTAGTAAGAATAATAATAATAATATATGTATGTATTTGTGGTAATATTCCAAGAATTTTATTGTTATCATAAAATTTATAGAAAATCATATGATACGAATATATGTCCACAGTTTTAACCATAAGCCATAAACTAAAATTCTGAAGGTCGTTTTCGATGTGTAAGACGATGGATTGATTTGCATGAATTTTTTATATTACTCACAATTTATTTCACTTTTCAATTACTAAAATTTTTACAATGAAAGGCAAAAAATGCTGTCTTGGTTCAAGAAAAGGGTTCGAGGCCAATCTTGTCTTAATTTGCACATTTTATACTAGTCAACCAGTCAACGAGTCAACGTTCACAGTTTCTGTATTTCCCAACTGAGATATTATGATGTAGTCAGCTTCTTTTATGTGTAAATACATTTTCTTTTACCGCGTTAATTAAGCTGAAAACTTTAAAATAATTAACTCCGTCATATGTGAGATTGAGTTAAATAGTACAAAAATTAATTCTTATTCTTATGTCTACTAATAATAAGCCACGAATACTCGTATTAAGAAATTAATTAAGTTATTGGATTAAGAAAAATATTTATGGCAAAATGCAATTTACCATAAGTAATCTTTCAACAAACATAAATAATTTCTTTTTATTTATGTTATTAACTGAAAATTTATTAAATTTATTATTGCATTATGAAACGTGAATTTACGCTTAGTTTTTGAAATCGTACATGTAAATCAGTGAAATAGTTTCAGCAATGGAGTGGAGTTATTGTTTAGAAACATAATGCCCATTAAATGAAGATTATGCAAAACAGTATATTGTATTGTATATGGTATATCAGCACTCATCATATATGTAGATACATATGTGTGTAAAACTTTTTTGAAATAAACCGGAATGAACATTGACATAGTCTTAACTTCGAAACAACATAAACATCCAAATTTATTTAATTATTATGTTTATTTCTTAAAGATTTCCTACTGTGAATAAAATTGTAGGTATCGCACTCAACTCTAAATTCAACTTACCACTTATTATCAACAAAATATTAATTAAATATAAACATTTCATTTTATTAAACCAACTCATATTTAGTCTTGTTTAGGTTCCTTTGTTTATTATGATTATTATTATTTTTTTTTTCTGTAATTATTATTTTATAATAACTTTATCAGCTACATTAATTGCTGTTGGGCATCGCTGGGTTTTCTTATATATGTACTTATGTATATTTTCACCATAATTTTATATAATACATTATGTGTAATAAGTACTTTGCTTTTCTTTTTAAGTAACACAGTTATATATCATTCATTTCTTTGAAAGTACACTCTTAAATTTATTTAATAATATATTTTTTAATTTGTACTAATCACAAACAGCGATCCAACCCCGAACGCGTTTTAATCGCAAATAATTTCTGCAATGCACAGATTTTTTAATTTAAGAGATTTTTCATTGAGCGATTGACTAATGTCCGAACGAAATAAAAAACCAAAAATTAATATTACATTTGGTCAAAACCGAAAACTACACACACTATACTATATATTGTTCATAATCTGTAATCTGCTTAACTCGCATATGAATGACTAAGACACTGTCCATGAAGTGCGTCACGCATTTGAGGGATTTTTTTCTTACCTTCCAATTTAGTCTACAATCCAGATCATATTTTTTTTAGAATTTTTTCGATTAATATTTCATTGATACTAGCATTTAAGAGTTACATTGCTTTCAAAATTATGGCTCTACGAATGAGGAGAAAATTGTGCTTATGTCTCCATATCCATCATTGTCTAGAAGAAAATTCAAAATCATTTTCTTAACGACATGATGGTGCTGTCATTCCAGAAATTGAGTGTCTACCAATACTTGAAGAAATGACACCAGAACACCTGATGTGTTTTTGTCCAGTTCTGGCCAGAACTAGGTTTAAGTTTCTAGGGGCTCCTTTCTTCAACTCAATTAGCGATATCTCCAGCATCAGCATTAGCCAGATTCTTGCCTTCGTTAATGCCTCTGGTTGGTTCTAGTTTGACCCTCTATCTACTACCCACTATTACGAGGTTTTTGTGGACTCAAAACGGCTTTCATCCTTAGCTATTTGAGGAGGATTCGTCCTCCCTCCACCACAACTAACTAACTAAGCAAACTAATAGACTTGTCAATTTGATTCACTTTCACTTCAATAGGGTAGTTAACGTTGTACGTACGCACACTACTGTAGTTCTTTAAGAAATTTCTTGAACTCAAATATACTTAGGACACAAGGCTGCCACTTCAATCTAACCTAATCTTGCTACACATAGCTTAATACACTATACCAGAGCTGTCCAGACCACATAAGACCACAAGTCAATTCAAATTACTGGATAGGTTGGAAGGCTACAGAAATAAATACGCTAATCCGTGGTAACACAACGGGCTATTATTTAAACTCAAATTTGCTTTGGGCACACGGCCACCACTTCAACCTAACCTAATCTTACTACAAATGTTTAGGTCTTTGAGCTAGCTTAATACACTATATCAGGACTGTCCAGACCAGCTAAACTCCAAGCCAATTCAAAGCACTACATAGATTGGAGGGCCGCAGAAATAAATACGTATGTTTATAATTTTGCCGTGCTTTAAACAGTCCTGCACTATATAACTGTTTCTTTACCAACAGAAACCAATACAATATTTGGTATTTGTATTTAAATTTAAAAACTCTGTCCGATTGGAAATGACATTTCCCCCACTTAGCCTAACTCGCACACGTCTTTAGTAAGTTATTTTAATATGTTAATGAAATGATTTGAACCATTTGATTTTGTAACAAACAAAGAAAAAAAAGGATATAAAAGGTATAGGTATAGGGGTTATCGATCGCAAATGTAAAAAACATTTGTATCATTTAAAGCTAAACCTAGGTATTTTTATTGAATTTATTCTAAATCCTTATTAAATTCTTCTAATATTTTTACACATTAGGTATATCTTTCGGAACATTGCCTTTCCCTATCTCTTTAGTATTCACCTAAATAAATAAATAAGTTGAATATAATTATCACAGTTCACAA